TAAGAAATATTATTTACTCCGTTAACAAGCCTTTTTCAATTAAAAAAGTTGTTTTTAACATAATTAAAATACAATTCCTTGCCCTTTTGACTTTTTAATTCTATGTATAATACTACCTTTTGTCCTTAATATAAGAACTAATTTGGTATTTAATTTGATCCTAAATATAAGACTTAAATTTACTTTATCTTTTATATTTATTTATTTATTTAAAATAATTCTTTTAGTAGTTGCACTTAGCTAATGCATATAATTAGCAAGAGCAATTTAGGAAGGATAACATATATTTATTATAAATAACTAGCTTAACAAACTTTCTGAATCTACTTAAATTAATCAACTAACTTTTATATTAAATACATGAAGTAGTAAGTCGCATCTTTACCTGTTATAATTGGAAGAACACGATTGGCCCTTTTCAATATTATTCTCATCATACTTGTATTCACAAGCTTTGTATATAATTTGCTGAGAAATATACATATATAATTGTGTTGGTATTTTGAATATTTTTATTTCTACAGGAGTTGGATTTTGGGATTCATTAGGATTAATATATGTCTTCAAATTCAAAGAGTGCATGGTTGTAAAGGTTCTTTTGAAGTATTCTAAATATACACATTGTAACATTCCTTAGGAAATTTTAATCACTATTCATTTTTTCCTATCATTAAAATTTGGATTAAAAAAAATAGGGCGTTAAGCACAAGCCGGGTTGGGTTTTGGCCTGATATTTAAAAAAAACAAACAATGAAAAATTTAAAAAATAAATTAAAAACAAGATGAGATCTCTGATTCTTTTTTACAGTATTGATGCTGAGAGGATGTTTCATTCTGGGAGTGTTCATTTTGGATGGGATTAATTACTTGGAAAGAATCACAACATACGTTGACTCGAGGATAATTCTGATTCCAATATATACATTTGCTTCAAGAAATAAAAGTTTCTTAAGGAAAAATCTAAATAAAATAATATAAAGTTATATCTAATTAGCTCTCCTCTACCTACTAAACCAAACAAGAAATCTCTTCTTTATTAACTTCTCCTTCCCTCGATTGAACCAAACAAAGCCTTAATTAATGATATTTGCATTTTTAAAATTTTAAAACTATACAATCAAAATATGTATCTTTCATGACGAAAAATACCTGTTCTAGAACACATACTTATTTTAATTTTGATTACTTTCTTTTCTGTTATATCTCCTAAAAAATTACTAAATGTTCTTTTTATATATTATTAGGAGGGTTTGAATCCTTGATTTCTAAATTTCAATTAAAAAAAAAACCATTAATTTCTACTCACACCTTCCCACCAAGCCTCAAGTCGTTTAATGATTTCTTTTTTTTTTTTTAATAAGGTATCATCAATATTGCTATCAATCAAGGATAGTATCAAATCTCACTCATATCAACTACGTACCACAAAAAAAGGCCTATCTAGCTTTTCATTTTTCTTTTTCTTTGGGGTAAACTTTGCTTCCTTATTTGTTGTTAAAGAGACGGGTCATATTGCCATGGGAAGGAGGGGGATATGTCCTTGATGTTAATAATTCCATATCAATGTGTGTGTATGCATATGGTAAAGTACAACATCTCATATATGCTTTTCTAGTGTTTTTAACACTTTACTTTTATTTATGATGCATCTAGCATCTTGAACTATAAATAAATTTAAGATACTAGATGTAATATTATGGAGTGTTAAGTGCATTAATGTCGTAATTATTTTTTTAAAAATAAATTTGATTACTTGCAAGCCATAATTAACGTGGCTGATTTTTTTTGTTTGTTTTAAGATTTCGCCATGGAAGGCACGCCCACAATGAAAGTAGTGAAAGATGCGAAGAAGCCCACCCAAATGTTTATGGCTGCAGAGAAGTCCATGGTTATCAGAAAGCAGTACTTCCAGGTTTTATGGTTCAACCCCACCTTGTCTTCTTAACTTGTAACCATGTCCTTTTCTTGTAGGGACATCGTGTATGCACCTAATACCCCTCCTCACTTCAAATTTCATCCACATTTTCCTTATCAAGAGTCTATTTTCTCATATATAGACTTTTTTTTTCATGTTTTTTTAACTGTTACATCACATTGTAATCTATGTTCAGGATAAGGAAAAATCACCTTGTACTTGTTGACTTTCTAATCAAGTCATATGAGAAGAGGAGATACACTAAAGACTGATGATGTAGAATTTGATTCTCATCATAAATGTTCAGAGAGTAGTAAGGAATCAAAAATTTGTTGAAATAGTTTTTTTTTTTTTTTTTGGAATACTAGAAGCATAATCTCACTTGTTTAAATTTCAAGAGCTCCATCACTCACATGAAATTGAGTTTATTAAAATAATACTTTTTATAATCTCATAGAAATTGAGAATTTGGTGAGAAGATACCAGACCCATTAGAAATTTATTTATGTATATTACACAACAAATCTTGACATGGGATTATCAAAAGAGTAGCGTAAATATAGAGTATAGAGGATTAAGTAATTGTAACTATAGAGTAGAGAGGGTTTAATTTGCAATTTATTATAAATGAATGTATATTTCAATGGCGATTTACCAAAAGGGATTGAAAACATCAATTGAGGGGCAAAAAAGATAGGGCACATTCACAGCGATCCAAGCATGCATGAAGCATAAAAGACGGGACTTTTGGGACAACAATGACCACATGAAACCTTACTTTAAGAATGCTTGGTTCTCATTAAAAGAATTCCCATGAAACTTGTCAAAACATGTTTCTTCCAAAGATCATAAGGAGAAAAACTAACCCTTATTCTGTACAATGCCTGAGGATGATCTTCAAGATCCTGTTTAGTGTAGCAACATATGAATCAAGACAAATTATGTTGCTCTATCATTGACCATAGAATTTTATTTTTTTGGACAAATTCAATTTATGAAAGCTAGCTAGCAAGCTAGAGCAATCAAAATTATCATAAATAATTAAGTATATATGAGTATGGTCATATGCTTTGTGTTTTTTTTCCCATAAGAAAAACATTACTTTTGAAAAAGTCAAAAAAGCTAAAAAAGATGTCTTTAGCTTTTTGTTTATAAAGATGAATTTTTTTCCTCTTATTCTTTCATATCATGTTTCTCTAAAGGACTACCCACAAACCCTTGTTCCATAACAAGCCTATTTGGTTGAGGATCAACCATTTGGTTTGATATTTAGGCCATTCCTCCAACTTTAATTAGTTCAATTCTGTGTGTGTGTTTTCGTCACAGAGAGTGATTGAGATATTTATCTCTAAGCATTTTGTGGCGGCCTTGCATAGCTTTGCCGATAATAGAGTAATCAAATATGTGTGGTGTGTGATTAATTAGTCCAAGAGCAAAAAAATCTGCTTGTACTGTAACTTTTGGCCTGAAATTTTCTCACAGCTTTGGGCAATGAAAGCAACCAGACGTGTTTCAGCATGCAGGCAAGATGATCAGAACAACCAGACCATCCAATCCACATGCAATTGATTTAATTTTGCAGCTTACATGCTTGATGAAATGCACTTCCATGACTGGTCGGCCGGTCCAATTAATTTACGATACATCTACTTTGAAAGGCGACAATGAGTGACCCAAATAACCATCTTGATCTGTCAACGTCTTTCTAGGGCCAAGAAACCAGAACCATGCATTGATTTCTAGTAGACTTTTTAGCATGCATGAAGCTGAAGTCACTTTAACTGAAAGTGGCTATGTGAAACTAAACATGTTTCTTCATGTTTCAGAACTAGCGGTGGACAAAAATTCTACAGTAACTCGTAAGAAGCATCAGGATTTTTTTTCCTTAAAACAAATCTTCTGCTGCCGATATTCTCAATGGAAATATTAGATTCGAGGCAACTTTCATTGGCTTAAATCATATGGTCTTAATGAAACTGTCATGGTCATCTTCTTCAAGTGAGCCTCAACTAACTGGGTTACATATGGTTTTCATGCAGGGTCTGTGATGTGTCTCTTTTGGTTCATATGCAACACACACGTGTGTATGTGCCCACACCACACAGTGACTACTATTATGACCACTACGTCCGACACTTACATGTGGGGGCTATATATATTTTGATGGGCCAAATGATCTATTGACTAACGCCAATATCAAGAAAGGAAATTAAAGATGTTTATACTAAGTTTGCTGTTTGCATGTGTACCAGTTCTTTTGCAAGGAAAAAGTCCATGCCACCATTATCTTTTGCTCCTTTGGTGGGACTTCATATTACATACAATATATATATGTGTATATGTGTGTGTGTGTGTATTACATGATGATGACACTTCCGAAGATTTTGAGTTGTTTTGGATGTTATATAGCTAGAGTTAGCTGGGTATATAAGACATCAATTAACGATCTGCTAAACGGATAATTATATATCTCAGTTATCCTGTTTTTTGAATCAGCCAGTGGTTGGGAATTGAAATATTACCCACTAAGAGGCTTGCTATGATGAAAAAGGCTGGGCTATGAAACTACCTAACTATGGTAGATCTATGAAAATCAAAAGTAATTACTTGTAAAATAATTACTTTAGACCTTTAAGAGTGACTTAAAAGCCTTGGTGGGTTCTACATAATTATTGTTGTCTTTGGACAGCTAGCTTGTGTTACATGCTCTCGAGACTTGGGATCCATAGCTATTTCCTTCTTAAAACCCATTCCCCATCACTCAATTTGGTAAAAGTAAATAGAATCCAAGGAAGCACAGTTATTTTGCCCTTCACAAGCCCTGACACAAACCTATAGTTTTTCTTAGCAACAAAAATATTTGAAAAGAAATGTAGAGCCCACTCCTTCTCTATTACTTATGCTCAAATTCATATCCAGTGGGTCTCACCAAAAAACCTCCAAATCTTGTCCTTCATCATATAAAATTATGGCTGGATAGTTATTGATTATTCTAAACTGATGCTCTCATCGCCCTCCCACTAATCTCAATCATTTCAAACCCCTTAGATTCCTTTGCATCTTTAAAAGCCCTTGCCCTTAGTGTTAGATATTGCTACACCTACTTCACCCATAACTCCTTCATCAACAGCTCTTGAAACCTTGCACTGCACCATGTCCATAGCGAGCGCTATAGACTCTGAAAGGAGTCACAAGAAGTTGTTCCACTACAGAAATGATTCAGGCGAGCTTGATGTGTTTGAAGCTGCAAGGTACTTCTCAGGATACAATGAAGCTGTTGGCTATAATGGCTCTGGTTTTACTCAGAAGATCATGAGAGAAGATAGGCATGGACACAGAGGCAGAATCAGCTTAGACATGCCCATGAGAAGCTTACTTCCTCAACACTTTCATGGGTTGGAGAAGCATGGGAAGGAGAAGAAACACAAGCAGCCTAGCTCTCCAGGTGGTAGGCTTGCCAGCTTCTTGAATTCTCTCTTCAGTCAATCTGCATCAAAGAAGAAGAAATCGAAATCAAGCAAGCAATCTATGAAGGATGAGGATGAGAGTCCAGGTGGGAGGAGATGGAGGAGGAGCAGCATTAGCCATTTCAGAAGCTCCAGTACTGCAGATTCAAAGTCCCTATATTCTTCATTCAGTTCAGGGTTTAGAACACCTCCTTATGTTCAAACCCCAACAAAAAGCTGTAAGGAATTCCGAACCTTCTTAGACCAGAAGCAGCAACCAGTGCCAGTGTCAAAATACAATAATGGGCATGTAAAGTCAACTTCCTTACAGAATGTGTCATTGTGGGATGATAAGAAAAAGAAAGATCATCAGCCAACTGTTTTGGATGACAATTGCAAAACAAGAAATGTTCTATCTGAGAAAGATAGGATATGGGTGGAGAAACACTGTCCAGAGGAAAAGGAATTCAAGAAGTTCAATGAAGTGGATGATGGTGCAGAAAGTGATTCAAGCTCTGATCTGTTTGAG